ATAAACCATTAGGAATGATATAATGGAATAACCTGTCACCCCCATGAGTGACTACACTATAGGTAGTAACTGCCTATAAGTATCTGTAAGTCAACAGACTACAGAGACTAGCTGTGACCTGTCCCAGCTAGACAGTCAAACTCTCTGCCTTTGGGCAGAGAGTAACCCGGACGAGGCTCTGCCAAAGGGCAGAATCTTGTTCGGGGAGGTAGACTGCCTCTGAACCCGTTTATACAGGTTCAAAAGGGAATATTTTTAGCCGAGCCTATGGGCTCGGACAACTTGCGTTAAACTGGCCTTGTGCCACATGCAACCCTCGTGTGTGTGTGTGTGTGGGGGGGGGTAGCTAAATATACTAGCTGCGATCTGTGGAGTACAACTCAGACTTATGCAAGAACTACCAACCTTCTAATAGTAGCACTCACTACTGGATTGACTTGTGATGACCTTGTGCATAACTGTTACCTTTATTCTTATTGTACTGGTTTTTTACAATAAATCTTTACTTATTTTATCCACCTTGTTTTTCAAGTATATATTTCTATTAACACAATATAACAGGAAAGAACCTTTGTTTTTGTGCAATGGCAATACTCTTTGATAATGCCTTATAAAAGTCAAAAGCACTCAGACATTGGGCAGTTTATATTTAGATTTTCATGGGCATAAAAGGAATATGCTTTGAAATATAGAAAAGAGAAATATTTTCAAAATTCTTAGGAACATTCATTCATCTTTAATCAAACATTTACAATAGAAATACTTCTGCCTTGATACTATATATATTTTTGAAAGAATTTTTTATCCAACATTATTTCTTATTACAACAAATGCTCACAAATGATATTTTTAGTGGGTTCATATATTTGAGTTGCAATCCCTATTTATTTTATTAAACAGTGAAATTAATAAAAAATGGCCTAAATTGAGGAGTTTTACAGGAATCGAACCTGCATTCCTTTTTTGCATCAGGAAAACTACTTTTTGAGTTAATGTATGCGTCTACCAGTTTGGCCACAAAGACCAGCATGAAAGACGATGTTTGAATTACCTATTAATGAAAGCTTGTATTCTCGTTGAGCCTTCTACAAACTACATCTGCTACCTTCAATTTTGTACCCAAAATGTAAACGCCAATTTATTTTTTATGCTTTTTTTATCAAAAATTATATATATATATATATATATATATACACACACACACACACACACATTATCCCTCAGTTTTTGTTCACCACACATGGCCCAGTGGATACTGAAGTGATGGCATGTGGAAGTAGAACAATCTACCCACATGGAGAAATTAAAGGGTTCATTTCAAGATTATAATCACTTGATAAAGGTTGGAGTGTACAATGGTCGAAATGTTGTGAGCATGACAGTAAAAATGAAGACAACACTCTGAACAATGTAAATAATATAAATGGTTATTTAAGTGTTTTAAGATAACCAATTTTTCAACTAGATATAAATTGCATTTATTTCTTTTACCGCTATAAGCTCTAGTCCTAGGTTTAATTTCTCAGCTAATTGATGGTGACATGCCCTCATTCTTTAATTATCAGAATTATTTGGACAGACCTGTCCTGCTTTTACAGCAAGGGATAATATGTATATTTATTAATATATAGTTAATAGCTCTTATATTTGAGCTTTTATAAACACCAGCACTATATGTGCAACACATACGTATACACACAGACACACTTTCAGAGAAGGCAGATAAAAAAAATTAATTCTTTTTCCATTTCTTTTCCATATTTATTCTACATTCATATCTATTCTAGAGTTTTCTTGTTATATCTATACATATTTTTGTTTATATCTATCACACTTCTATACCTCAGATTATAAGACCCTGCTATAATATATATATATATATATATATATATATATATCCAAATTTCTTGGGAGAGAGCACCTACTGTAAAGAGATTACCAGCAAGTTAATCTTAGTGAGTTTGTCTCTAAAATTATTTAATTTTGAGACAAACTTGATACTTCCTCGGTTTCTTCATATCCTTTTGTATGGGGTGTGTTTAGTTAAGCAATTAGTAAGTTTAAAAAGTTTTTGAATCAAGGAGAATGCTAAGATTTCAAATATTGCTATTCAAGGTAAGTAGGTAAGCCTTTTCAACATGAGTTGTGATAAAAAATTCTCAGCCCAACCAAGAAGGGAATGTTCAAGAGTCATGAAACATTTACACTATTCCATGTGGAAATGATGAGACAGTGAAAAAGCTTTTAAATGACATGTTTCATCAGCATCAAAGGTGTTAGGTTCAACTTCATCAGGTTGGAATGAAAGCCAATACTGCATGTAGGGAAAATGCATTGGAGTTTTTGAAGATAAGAGTGACAATATATTTAATTACCTTATCAGATCTGATGACCAAAAACCAGAACATGATTATACATATATACACACACACACACACACACACAAGCTGTTGATGTATTCTGATTTTTAAATCTATCAGATCTATTTTTTCTCTATTAGCTTGTATACCACATTGTGCTGCTGTTGCTTTTGCAATGATCGGTGATATTATGTAAGGTCCTGGTCTTAGGTTTCTTGTTGAGAATTGTGAGATTAGTGACTCTCAATGCATTTTCTTCTTAGGTAATCAGACTGGCATTTATTAAGTCAAAATTTTGGTCTTATGTACTATGGTGAACTATTAGTGCATTTAAAAAAAGGTCGATAAACCATAAAAATAATCAATTGGTGTGTTTAAAATGATGCATCATATCTCTGCAATTATTATATAGTTTTGTATTTTTCTTCTTAGGTTTCTGGATGTTTTGCTAATATTCACCCAGACATTCAACGTACTTGGCAAACTGTTTATAAAGTTTTTTTTAGTCCTCTCAAAAGAAATTCTGTTTGATCTTTGAAATACTACTCTGGTGCTGCAATCACTTCCGACATTTGAAAACTTCCTCCTTTTCCAATTTCTTCTAAGGTTTGGAAACAGGAAGTAGATGAAGTAAGATCGCGTGAGTAGAGTGGATGGTCTAACTCAAACTTGAAATATTCAAAACATACATTGTCTTGACAGTCCTGAGGGTAGGCACATTGTCCTGCAAAAAGAAAACCTTTTTTCTGCAGCTTCCTTTTTTGTTTTCTTTCACCATCTCCTTCAATCAGCAGAGAAAGTTGTATTCTGCATTAACATTTTTGGCCTTCTGAAGACAGTCGTCAAGAATATCTTCCTTATTCCTCAAAACTGCTAACTTTTGAGTTATCGATATTTTTTTTTTTTCATCATGGGGAATCTTAATGCTGACATTGCATGGATGTTGTTTGGTTTCTGGATTATTACTGGTGTCATCATGTCACCTCAACAGTGACAAGTAATTTAAAAATTACCACCAGGTTTCTGAAAATGCTGGTAAATCAACTTGAGTTTTCGATTTGATAATAGGCTGACAGTTTCTGTATACAACTAATCATGGTCTTTGTTTTAATCATTTCACCCCAAGTAAGACAATAAAGCTTCTAAGACACAAGGGGTTACTGAGTGTGAAAGAATATAAGAAAAAGAAAACATTAAGAAGAGAACAATAAAAGAACATGAAATAAGAAGATAGAATATAGCAATTGATATTGCACTTAAATTTTAAGATCAAAGTTGACTGGAAAGCCAGAAGCTGGAAGAGAGTTCCCTAAGCAAGAAATGCATGAGAAGAAACTGTTAACATAGAACTTATGATTACATCTAAAGATTTCAACAATAAAATGATGAGACTTTGCTTCTAATCTAGTACTGTGCTTAAATTCAGTCTTATAGAAGAAAATTCAGCAGAAAAATGACCATGAAAATATTTATAGAAAAGTCATAGAAAAGTTACCATAGTGGAAAAATGACTGAAGCTTAGATGCCAGCTCAGTTTCAATAATATTGTATATTCATTGTATATTATGAATTGAATATTCTTCTTTGTATTTTATCAATAATTATGAACCAAATTCATTCCCTGAATACTATCTATAGTGTCTGAGCAATTATTTTGACTGATATTTGTTAATTGTTCAACATGAGAATAAGAACATGATTAACAATTTGATGAGGTGACACAATTAAAGGTCTTGAAGACTATACTGTATATTGGGTCTCAACATCTCTACACTAGAAACTTGGCATCTCTCTTCATAGTTGATTATAATGAGCAATTGCCAATGTTTGCATCATACATGCATATATTTTCTTTGGAGTTTTCTTCTGCAGAAAAAAGAACTTCATGATGGCTTGGAGTTGAACACTCGAAAACTTCATACTTTCTGTTGATATGGTTCAGTCAATGTTCTGAAACAAATTAAAAACTAAGCATAAGGATCTTGCAAATTGGCATTACACATTGTAAAAAGGAGAATTTTTCAATTTAAATAACAATATTGAGACTTTAGGAAGTGGGAAGGCAAGCCAAAAACTTTTCAGTACCACCTCATAAGATTTGATGTTGCATTTCCTTTACATCTATCTTGGCCTATTCTTGTTTCTCTATACATGAAATTTTACTATATGTTCTGTTTTTTTCTAATTTCCCTTTTATAGTATTTTACCCTTCCATCTATTTTAGCATTCTTGTTCTATGCTCCATCTCCTTTCTGGATATTGACGATTATGGCTCTCCACAATTTCCTGTTCATTGTAGGTCTTAGTAAATTTTGACTTTTTGCTATCTCTCCTAAACCCTCTTCTACATCCATTTACACAATCTCGTTAGGTAGTTTATGTGGTGTTTTCATCTATCCCTCTTGTCATGTCCTGTGCATGTCAAATTTTTCAAGCATTCTTTCCTCATTATGTGCTTTAGAAATTTCAACTATTTCAATATAAGTGTCCTTTTTGTTTCCACTTTCTCTAAAACTTTGTTGTAGATTACATATTCAGTCAATGATATTCTCAGCATAACTTCTATAGAACCACATTTCTTAAACTCTTTTCCAAATCTCTCACTCCACTATTGACTGACCCGTGGATATCTCTGTCCCTTCACCACTGACTGGCCCGTGGATATCTCTGTCCCTCCACCACTGGCTGGCCCGTGGATATCTCTATCCCTCCACCACTGGCTGGCCCATGGATATCTCTGTCCCTCCACCACTGGCTGACCCGTGGATATCTCTGTCCCTCCACCACTGGCTGGCCCGTGGATATCTCTATCCCTCCACCACTGGCTGGCCCGTGGATATCTCTGTCCCTCCACCACTGGCTGACCCATAGATATCTCTGTCCCTCCACCACTGGCTGACCCATAGATATCTCTGTCCCTCCACCACTGGCTGGCCCATAGATATCTCTGTCCCTCCACCACTGGCTGACCCATAGATATCTCTGTCCTCCACCACTGGCTGACCCATAGATATCTCTGTCCCTCCACCACTGGCTGACCCTCCACCACTGTCCCTCCACCACTGGTTGGCCCATAGATATCTCTGTCCTCCACCACTGGCTGACCCATAGATATCTCTGTCCTCCACCACTGGCTGACCCATAGATATCTCTGTCTCTCCACCACCACTGGATTCCCACCACTGGCTGACCCATAGATATCTCTGTCCCTCCACCACTGGCTGGCCCATAGATATCTCTGTCCCTCCACCACTGGCTGACCCATAGATATCTCTGTCTCTCCACCACTGGCTGACCCATAGATATCTCTGTCTCTCCACCACTGGCTGACCCATAGATATCTCTGTCTCTCCACCACTGGCTGACCCATAGATATCTCTGTCTCTCCACCACTGGCTGACCCATAGATATCTCTGTCTCTCCACCACTGGCTGACCCATAGATATCTCTCTCTACATCAATGTCCATGGATATTTGTCTCTCATTTTATAAATTTTTTGCTAAATATTAATTTCATAAACTAATTTTCAGGAAATGCATAAATGAGTTTGTATCCACAAGATTTAAAGAAGTGTGGTTTTCACCAAGGCCCACAGGTTTCATTTGCTCTAAGTCATTTGTAACCACTGATCTGAAAAAGTGGTTGCATACAGTTTAGATATTTTTGAATAGATATCCTAACTCATTCAGAAATATATAAACTGTAAAGACAATTGGATATTTCTACTTAGATTTATTGAACCACAGATGTGCCATTTTGTTCCACTACCTTTTGTCATCTTGAAACAGCTTCATGACTCCATCCTCCCAGAATTTGGAATCTCTGGGGGATGAAGTCTGTTTTTACAAGCTTCTGGACTATTGAAATTCTTCCCATCAAGAGAATTTTGTCAGGGCCAAAATAAATAGTAATCTGAAGAGTCATGGTCAAGTAAATATGGCAAGTACAGTAGGACATTCCAGCCATGTTGTACTAATTTCTGTTGGGTCTGCATTGCCTAGATAGATGTCACCCTTCTAATTGGTCAGTTTCAGAGATTGATTGCTACCTTTCATTGATTGCTACCTTTCATTGATTGCTACCTTTCATTGATTGCTACCTTTCATTGATTGCTACCTTTAATTGGCCCAAATGAGAAGATTACTTGTCTGAATTCAATGTCTGATTTTGCAGAAAACAGCTCATAATAATAGTTCCCTTCTAATCCTACCAGATACACATCATTACCTTCTTCAGGTGCAGAACAGTTGTTTTCACCTTGAACCTTTTCCACTCCACATTGTTGTAAGCAATCCATTATCCATTGCCTGTGATCGTTGTCTCTAAAAAAAAAAAAAAAGGTCATTTTTGTTGCATTTAAACGGAGAATGTCAGATGGAAATGCAGTCCATTTCCCATGAAATCATGATGCACCCAAACATTGTAGAAATTAATGTCTCTAGGTGTTTTTAAATGCCTTGCAACACTCATATGAGACAAGTGAAGTTTTTCTGTAATGTTCCATATCATTTTTCTAAATGTTCCATGTCATTATTTTTAAGAAGCATTTCAATTTGTTCATTATCAACAAATGCAAACCTACTGAAATATTTTTGGTCTTCCAGGTCAAAATTTCCAATTCTGAACTTAGTAATGTTCTTAAGTAGTCCACTATCAGCTATGACAACATCTCCATAAATGGCAAATATTATTTTGCTGTTTGTTTTTTCCTTTCTGTAAATAATAGCATCAAATGAAGAAAACGCATTTCATTTTCCTCCATTTTCACTTCTAATTTACAAACATTTAAAATTCACAATCTCCACATGAACTGAATAGAAAAATGTGTTGAAATGTCACCATCCAGAGTATAAATTCTAGCCATGTATAAAATCATTTGTTCACATGTCATCTGTTTAAATATGTTACAAACTTTTGTTCCAGCCTAATATGATAGGGGTACCAAAATATTTGTAGCCTGTGTGTGTGTGTGTGTGTGTGTGTAAACACCCAAACCTCATTCCATGGGCATTTATACTTTGTTCTACAGTTATAGATAGTGCTTGTAGATATGTGTTCTGTATTAATGATTTTTCTGCTGTATTTTTTGTGATTTCTAGCATATTTTCAGTGCAACTATAGCCAAGTTTTAGAGTTTCCATTGAATATTTTGTGCAGTTTGCTTGATTGTTTTACCTATATTCTTTTTTACATTACAAATCTTCATTTTCTGCTGCATTGTTTTTGTTCTATTTAATGGGGAAAAAAACAACTATTCTTTAAGCTTGTTTCCTAATTGTTTTTGGCCTCATTGAAAAATAAAACAAAATCTGCTAAAAAAATTTTTTTTAAATTGCCTAATTTAGCTCTTCTCATCCATAAAATTCTCACTAAATGTGCAGTACTCTGTTGAATTGAAAAAAAAGTATTTTATATAATGTTTTTCCTAATTTATATTATTTCAGGGTAAAGTCATTCTAATATTTTTTTCTGTTTTTCAATTTGCTAAATTAACTTGACGAAGTCCATATAATTTGACTGAAACTATATTATCATATAAAATGAAATAAATCTCAATTTATGATTTGTTTTTTTTTTTTTTTTTTTTTTTTTCAGTCTTTAATTAATCTAATTTAACATTTGTTATTAAAAATTGTTTGTGTTTGTATCCAGAGTGTGATGCAAAAATGAAATTTTTAGTTTATTTTTATATTAGATTGTAATATGTGTATAGATATTTATGCTGGTGAATTTTCATATATAAAGTTGTTCAAAATGCTAAAAATTTGAATAACATACTTTATGATATGATTATGGTTTAGTTATATAACTATATCATTCTTGGTTTCCTGGTAGTCGGATGTTTAATCCTTAGATGGAGTAGCTTAGAAAAGTCGTATACTCTGATTATGTGAAAGAAACAGGCAAGTAACACAAAGGTGAAAAAGACGAGGCAATTAAGTTGTATGATAGCTAAGCATAGAAAGCTGAATAAGAAAAATCTAATCTTGTGGATTTAATAAAGTATTTGATTCAAAATGCTGAAGAGGTTACTGATTATGATAAATATGTGAAGATGAGAGTACAGTGATCAATATTTGAGTATAACAGCCAAAATATGTATACTAGTTTATATGGAAAGATACAGATCAATCCTTACAAAGTATTTTGAAGGTATTATTATTTCTCAGGTGATTTTGAAATAACTGAAACAAAATCATCTGAGTCAGTGAGTTAGATTTATTTTATAAAAAATATTTTATTCTCATATTTTCTTTTATTCTCATTTTTTAAGTGTGATGTTTTCAAAAAATATTTAACCAACTGTCTGTTATATCTTTCTGCACAAACAAAAATAAATGTGAATTTATAAGAAATGTGTCTATTCAAAGGCTAATAAAACGAAGAAAGGAAAAGGAAATATAACATTAAAACATACATAATTTTTTTGTGTATCTTTTACTTTTTCTTTTTAAAAAAAAATAGATAAATCTAAAGAGAAATTAGATTACATGCTGATTAAGCTTTCACTGATTGGCAAATCATAAACCACTCTATCTCTGGACAGTTTTTGATCAATGGCATAGTGCAGAAGAAATTGGAAGAAAGCAGATAAGTTTGTATTTAAGACATTGGACAGTTTTGATTAGTGGCAGGACACAGGAAAATGAAGACAACAGTTTTAAAATGTGGGTTTTGAGTCTTTCATTGAATTCAGTAACAGCCAAACCAGGGATATATAGTTGTCTCATTCACTGGCAAAGAGAAAATATGTCTCTGTTGTAAAGCCCAAAAGAATGTTTATTTGGGTGAAAACTAAATTTGGTTGCTTTCTATGACTTGCAAAGAAAATAAAATGTTTCCTGGATTTTCTCTCCAAGAAGATAAGTTTTTTCTGTTTTTTTTTAACTAAATGTTTATTCAATACAAGGTCCAAGAGCCACACAAAATTACTTTTTACCAATGAAATATGACTGGAATGAGGATGATTTGACCCCACATTCATGGCATGGCAAGTCTTAGTTGTAAATGTCTGAACTGGTGGGACTAAAGAATATAGCTCATCTGAACATTTGCCATGAAAAATTTTTTTGGCGGGGAATTGGTGTTCACTCTGTATAAGACCCAAGAGCCACTCGAGGTAGAGGATTATAGAGTAAGAGGCACAGTTTATGTGGATAGGTGGGGAAGATAATGGTTAACCCTAGACTTGAACAATTTAAGATTGTAGTGATTGAGGAAGCATCCTCTTATGATTCAGTTCCACAAGGCAGTGATTCATGAGAAGAAACTGTTTGAGTATAATTTACATCTCACCAGCATAGCAATAGATTTGAAATAAACCCAGCATAACGAAAGAGGCTGTAGAACTGAAAATAATTCATTACCCACAAGGCTGTATAAATGCCTTAAAAGTAGTAAATTTATTGTTACTTGCAAAAGAACTTTTTTCAAATAAAAATGAATGCTGTATAATTTGCAAAAAAACAATTCTTAGCAAATATTAATTTGTCTCCCAGACAATGGCTGTGATATCCATATCAAAATAAGGCCATTGCATATAAGAACTGAAAAATATGGAGTTACATGATTTTTATTCTGGATACAATGCATTTAGTTACATAGCATTTTCAATGTTGGCTTAAACCTGTGAACCTTATGTTTATGATCTTGACAACTATAAATATTTAAGTATTTCTACAAGAGTGAGTTAAAAAGTAATGCAATTTGTTTTATTATATAAGAAATAAGGAACAGAATCAAACATATCATACATCAAGATATAGCTATACATCAGGTTCACATCCCTACTTCTTAACCTTTACCATGCTGGAGGCTAAAATTGTTGCCATAGAATTCTCTTTCTGCTGCTCTAAGCTGCTATAAAACCAAAATATTTACAGTGGGAGTTATTTTCTTAAATAGCATTGTCAGATTTAAACTTTCGTGTGGATGTCATGCATGATATCAAACTCATTCAGAAATATTTATATCGAACAAAGTTTTATTTGTCTGTTTTTTCAGATCAGTGACAGGAAAAAAATGGATTCCCAAAAATGAATCCTTTACCTTCTTAAAGATTTCCATTTTTTTTGTTTTTGGCATTACACAATCATAATGGGCTTTCACAAAAGTGATTGGCCATTTGTTAAATGTAAAATATCTGAGTAGAACAGTCCAAGAAACAACAAGTTGACAAAAGAATAAAAAAAAAAAAAAGAACAAGGCATAAAATAGTATAAAGCAACCAAACAATAAATTCAAAGCAAATTAACAGCAATAGAGCAAAGCAACAATAATATGGCCTTTTTAAAAAACTAAAGAATTGAGGTGCCTCAAATAAAAATTTGTTCAAGGGAATGTAGCAAAAACTTCAAGACAAAACAGAAAAAGATTAGAAGATGAAACCAAAAATTGAATTTCAGGGAAATTAGCTAGAAAAATTCCCAAAACATGCCAAATGTTTTTGCCTATAAATTGTGGAGGG